TCATTTTACGGAGAAAGCAAGGAAGTGGCATTTTCTTTGTGACATTTGCTTTGCTTTATTCTTCCAGTGAAGCGCGATGACAAAGGTCACTCTTTCAATGAGTATTTGAAGAGACAGGAAGTCAGTTTTTGCTTTCAGTTATTAACTTAAATGTAGCTATGAGACTGTAAGCTGCATTTACACGGTTATACAGCAAGTCTTTTTTTTTTTAAGCACAGATGCTTAAAACTCAGTCTTCTTCCAACTTTCACTCCAACTTACCATTAGTTTATCCAAGGTTTCATTTATCTGCTTTCCCCACCATCCACACTCTAGTTTTTTTTTTTGTTTTTTTTTTTTTAGCATTTCCAAACTAACCACTATGAACCCTTCCCAGACCTCATTAAAGAGTTGGCAGAGGTGGCAATATCTTGCTGGAGATCCCTGTGTACCTGAGGCCTTTCAAGGGTAAGTTCTTTTTTCCTCCTTAGTTTCTGTTGTTCTAGGCTGCAGCAAGTGAGGGTAAACACAGATGCAGCAGCCACAAACTTTGTTACCCCATATCATTGTTGCACTTTCCACCACATTACAATGTTACAAATGCTAAAGTTAAATGCTATTGTAAAGCATCTTAAGAAAACATGAGGGAAATAGTCTTAACTGGAATGTGCATGCATCTACTGAAAAAAAAGCTTCTGCAGGTATGTGTACTCTGCAAGCAAACCATAGGACAGGAGGCATTGGCCTCATGTAGCCACAGAGGAGATTGAGTTAGAATATTAGGAAAAATTCTGAGTGGTGAGCATTGGAACAGGCTACCCAGAGATGTGCTGGAGTCATCCTCTCTGAAGGCGTTCAAGAAATGTGAAGGTGTGGCATTTTAAGGGCATGGCTTAGTTTACAGGGTGGTGATGGCTTGACAATTGGACTAGATGATCTTAGGGGTTTCTTCAAACCCTAATGATCCCATAAAACTCTTTGTAGGGGTGGAGGATTCCCTTTCAGGGGAGTTGCCAACTCAAATGTGTGAGAATTGCCTTTTATTAAATTAGAGTAAAAAAAAAAAAATCATTTTCCCCCATCCCACCTCCATTTACAAAGTAAAGAAGTCAGAGCAAGCCCTGCACACAACATGCAGCACCAGCCAACAAAACAACCTGAAACCTATACAGTGTCTATCCTGACCAAGAAATTCTTCAGTGTAAATTCAGCTGCTGTTATTATATTAAATTCATGCCTATATTTCACTTACTACTCCACATGAATCCTCTATGCACACTTGAGCATTGGACCACAGAAATTACTTCATCACCTGAGCCAACACACCAACCATAATTATCAGCTGGGAGGGCAGAGGCCTGGAAGGGGGGAAAGTCAACCCTGATCTTTGTGTCCTGCTTTAGGGCATACTGAAAAAAAGTTGGTACAATTAACACCCAGCTGAGGCTTTAAACTGAGTAATTTGATTGGTTCATGGAAACATGCCCATGCAATTTGGTGCAATTAAACCACATTTGGAAAGCTGGAGCCTCACAGCTGACACCAATCCACTTTGGAGCTAAGATGCACAGGTGTGTTTGAACTCTGTAATGATCCTATGAAAGTGTATCTGTATGCCTAACTTGAGGTGTCTTTTCACATACACAGATTTGGGCTTATGACATAATACACCTGACAATACTTTCAAGCTTGCACAGATGCTGCAGGCTAAAATGGAAGCCACAGAACAAGCTTGCATGACAGTAAGTTAAGCTGTAGAAAGCACGTAAAGGCTTATCTGTTCCTTGTTCAGCAATTATCATTTCATACAAAGAAGAGGTGTATGTTTCATTCTGTAGACGTACTTCTGACTCCTTGCAATTTGGGGTACTCCATGACTGTGAGAAGTAGTGAGGTGCTGCTCAGATTTTCAAGGTCTACACAACCTCTGCAGCAACTCCCATTATCAAAGGCTACTAAGAGACAATTCTGAAAAGCATTCAATTCCTTAGATGTCTTTGGATTTAGGTAGCTATCTTACCTTAAAAAGCATGGACACCAGCTGTATGTGAAAGCAGGACTCCACACTGGTTTGTGTCAGTAAGTGGGAAGCTATAAGCATCCCTTTTCACAGCACCCAGGGAAACTTAAGCTGCTGTGAGGCACCAGTGACAGCGTAGTAACAGTTAGGGAACTAAATTAAAACATTCCTCTTTCCTATAAATGGTGATGACTACAGGGCAGCCAAGAACTTCCCTGTGGTTCTCGAAGAGGAGAAGCACCTTCTGCTTACCCACCGTTGCTGCCAGCCCACCTGATGGGAGAAGCGGACAAGCCCTGCTGCCAAAGCAAGGCCTTAGCAGCAGGCAGCTGCAGCCCACTCGTCCTCGTGGTCTCCCTCAGCTTCTCGGTGTGCCAGCAGACCCCCCACAGCCCCTCACCTTCCAGCAGCTCGTCCAGGCTGGAGAGCTTCTTGCTGCCGTCGATGGTGTAGATGGTGCGGACGCCCTGGGGCAGGTTCACGTTGTCCGACAGGGAGCGGGTGAGCTCGGCGAGGAGAGCGTCGAAGGAGCGGAAGCGGTCGCTGGAGATGGCATACACCAAGCCCTTGAAGTACTTGTCCCCGTTGCGGTAGAAGCGGGCTTTGCGCGCTTTCTTCTCCGAGCTGAGCGCCTGCAGCGTCCGCGTGCGGTAGAGGCTGCAGTGGGCGCTGTGCGCGGGGCTGGGGATCAGCCCGTTGCCTCTCGGCCCCGCGCCGCCGCCCGAGCCCGATCCGCCGCGCCGCGGCCCGGCGCGCTGCTGCCTCTTGTCCCGCTCGTCGAAGTGCTCCAGCTCGATGCTCCGGCTGCTCGCCATGGGGACCGCTGCCCGCCCTCGGGCCGCGCGCGCCTAATTCAGCATCGCGCCCAGCCGCTCTCGCAGGGAGGGCTGCGCCCGCTCGCCCCGCGATGGTACCCGCCGGCTCCGCCGCTGCCCGCCGTTGCACCCAAAAGCATCCCTCGCTCCTCGGCGGCTCGCGGCTAACGGCGGCGCCGGGGCGGCAGGCTCCGGGGAGCCCCGCGGCCGCACCTCCGCGCCGTGCCCGCGCAGCTCGCACAATGCGGAGGATGCCGCGCGCCGCTCCCTCCTCGGCCCGTTCCCAGCCGCGGAGAAGGGGGTGGGGACCAAAGCTCCTATTCGGCCGCCGGTCAGCGCGAGGAGCGGCGCGGCTTCCCGACTCCTCCGCGGGCGAGCAAGGGCGCCGCCGGCTCGCGCCTCGGAGAGACAACAACCGGCGGCGGCCCGGCGGGAGGAGCGAGCTGCGGGGCGGCGGCCGCAGGGCCCTAGCGCCGGGTGCGCGCCGCCGCTGAGAGCGGGGGGGCGGGCGCCGCGGCTGCGGGTCCGCAGTGGCGGCGAGAACGGGGGTAGAGGAGGGGATCAGGAGGTGAAACCGAGAGGGAGAAGCAATCCTCGAGGAAACGGAGTGGTCGTGGGGAGGTAGGTTGCCCCTTGAGTGCAGCTATGCCCCCCCCCCAGGCTCGAGCTGGCTCTGTGGCTCAGGTGCAGCAGTGAGGCTGTTGCCCAGCCTTGCTGTGACACTCCGTTATTCGGCTAAAACCTTCAGGTTCTGCGATCTTTTCTATAGGGGTTTCTCCAAAGCGTTCCTCAGGACATAAATCTACCACTTCCCCCTCCCCTCCCCAAATTCCCTTTTTTCCATTTGTGCATCACGTACTTAAAGGATTTGGAAGACGCCTACACGGTAGATTACACAGGATACTACCCAACACCACTCACTTACCCAGCAGGTTTCCCACTGTCTCAGAGGAACCACATCATCAGTAGCCCAGCTCTCACCACCCTCATCTCCTACACTGGCTATAGCCCACATCTTTCCCAGGTGACTTTTATGTACTCCCTAGATTGCTCAAGTTTTCTGCAGGCAGACATGGCCTGGAGGTGCATTGGAGTGGCTTCAGTTTTATCTGTTTATAAACATTTTCAAGTAACACAGAACATGCTTTCTTAACATAATATTTAAAAAAAAAAACAAAACAACAAACAAAAAGCATTTACACCTGGGCACAAGTTTTCATGTCTTTTGTTCAGATCTTTCTCTTGCTTTAAGAAATTCCAGTTTTGAGAGGTCAATACGGATGATCATGGTTTCCATTCTTTTGTCTAAGGCCTGTACAACTAATTGTATGTTCATTTTCCTCACCCCTTACTCACTACATATCAGAAGGAGGCAATCAGTGGTATTCTCTGATGCACATGGACATGTTCTGTACAAAAATTAAATTGGGAATCAGAAGGCATAGAAGATAAGTTTATGAAAGTCCTTTTTATGCTTAAGACAGAATTGCATTTAGTAGGATAACATTCTGTAGAGGTTAAGAAATGTTTTTTTGGTTCACGCATAGAGGGAAACAGGCTGCTTCTGATGTGTAGCTTCTAGACCTCTTAGTAAAAACCCACCTGTGTAACTGCTCCAAAGTGGATTGGTGTCAGCTGTGAGGCTTCAGCTTTCCAAATGTGGTTTAATTGCACCAAATTGCATGGGCATGTTTAATTTTTGCGGAACCAATTAAATTACTCAGTTTAAAGCCTCAGCTGGGTGTTAATTGTACCAACTGTTTTTTCAGTATGCCCTAAAGCAGGACACAAAGATCAGGGTTGACTTTCCCCCCTTCCAGGCCTCTGTCCTCCCAGCTGATAATTATGGTTGGTGTGTTGGCTCAGGTGATGAAGTAATTTCTGTGGTCCAGTGCTCAAGTGTGCATAGAGGATTCATGTGGAGTAGTAAGTGAAATGTAGGCATGAATTTAATATATTAACAGCAGCTGAATTTACACTGAAGAATTTCTTGGTCAGGATAGACACTGTATAGGTTTCAGGTTGTTTTGTTGGCTGGTGCTGCATGTTGTGTGCAGGGCTTGCTCTGACTTCTTTACTCTGTATGGAGGTGGGGAAAGGATTTTTATTTCTTTAGTAAAGTAAAGCTAAAAGGGAGGTTGATTTCTAGCCTGTGAGACTCAACTACTCTTTTATAAAAAAGCTCTTTACAGAGAGGTTGTAATTATACCTATGCGACAACTGCTGAAGAAATTCTTGGTGACACCCAAAGCGTGTTCCTCCACTTGTTTTCTTCCATTTTAGTTCTCTGCAGATGTTGCTTGGATTTTTAATAAGCTCTGTCATCTCCATGTGGGAATGGTGCTTCTATTCATAGGTATGCTTTTGCCTTTTCCTTGCCACCTTGCTTCCATTGAAGAGTCTCTGTACTTAAGCAGATGTTTGGAAAGGCTTTCAGAGGTGAGGGACAGAACTCCGAAACAATACAGTTTGGAGCTGAGTTACATTTGTTGTCTCAGTAAATTATGAGTAAATTACCTTGTGTAATACACAGTCCTATGTAGAACTGAGCTATGCAATTATGCAATCCAATTTTCTTCTTGTTGTATTTTTACAAACTGGGTTCATAAATTAGCAGATCACTTACCAGCAAAAAATGTTACATGAATAATTTGACTTCTTTTTTTTTTTTTTTACTAAAAGAAATCTCCTGACATGATAATTAACTAGCTTATCATTCATTCTTGAGGTACTCTTATTCTTGGAATAACTGTACATTACCTATAAATCATTATTCTTATAGAAGAGTAGAGCTTTAGTCTCTCCAGATTATATACCTGAGAACGTTAATTCCTTTAGAAATATCAAAATAGAAATTATTATATTGAAGGTACAAATCCAAAAAAAAAAAAAAAAAAAAGTTATATTCAGTTTGCATAGGAGAGTCAAGAAGACTGTTTGATATGTTTCATATGAGTTAAATATGTCATAGGTTCCAAGATAAGGGCCTGAACATAATTTTTTTATTTTTTTGTAAGAACCATTGAAATAGTTAATTTCAAAAGGAAATAACACATGTCTTACAGGCAAAGAAATACTTATTATATATGCCTTTATTTATTTGTTTAGACCAGTTGTAAGAAGTTATTGGGGGGTCTTAAAACATATCTATCACTGTATTGCTTTTAATACTATCATCATTTTTTGCAGAATTGCTAATAATTGTAATTCTGTCTGTTGCTGTTTAATGTAAGAAGCCAAAATTTTGTGTCTTTAAGAGAAATGTCACTCTGGCTAATTTGGAAGATATATTTAATTTCAGAGAATGAATAATAAATAACGAGGATTCGGATAAGTTTTTCAAAGATCATTCCTAACACTTATTTGTTGTAATGAATTATCAGTATACTTTAAAATGAAAAATAGATTGAGCTGGGATAACTACTTCAGCAAAGGAGACGGAAGCTTGTTACTGATCCTCATCTGATCAGTTGCGGAAACTAGAGGAGGAAAACAACATGGAACAGTATCCATTTTGCAACAATTGCCAAATCTGTTACAAAGGGTGAGCTTTTAAGCACACAACCTCTTTCACGTTCAGAAGAGAAGCAATTAGTGCCATTTGGAGGAAAAAAAAAAGTGCTAAACTTAAGTTAATTATTTTAATCAAATTTAAGATCAGAGTGGCTTATTAGCAGGAGAAAAGGCTGTAAGCTTTTTTGCCTTGTGGTACAAGGAGTAAAAATATCTTTATTTCTTGTAGGAGACAGAGGCATAATGAGGAACTGACATCAAGAGAAACAGAGTGAGTAAAAAAACAACCTTTATCGAATCTATGAATTTTAATACGTAGTAGGAATTATACTTCTCAGGTTTATTCTCCAGAGGAATTTTAACTCTTGAGGATTTTCAAAGACATAGTCAATGCAAATAATGATGATGCCTTGAATACCTTGAAGGTTGGAGAAGTGGGACAAAATGTAGAATTAAAAAGTCATATATTTAGTGATTATATCCTACTTCAAGATGTGAGTGCATCACTCAAAAGTAACAAAAATGAAGAAAGTGGAATAAACTGTTGATTAGGAGTATTCTCTGAGCTGCTAACAAGATACAGCTGTGAGAAAGGCAAATGTAGTTGGGAATAGCAGGTGGGGTACTTCATTTAGGGAAAAAAATTTAAAAAAAGGAGGAGGGACCCTCCTTCCATGCACACAATGGCTGTGTGTAAAATAAATTATTATGAAGAATGAAGCTGTAGTTATTCATTGAGAGGAGGCAAATCACTTGCTAGTATATGTTGTTATTTTTAGGGTTAGCACGATTGCGTGTGTGCACTTCTCAGTTTGGAAGTCTCTGTGTGGGCCTTATTCTTCTTGCTTAGTTGCAGAAGTTCTGGGTCACAGTGCTATAACTAGTTAATCTTGACTTGTACTCTAATAATACAGTGATGGAAACAAGCAAGAAGGGTTGTGAAAATCATTGACAATAACCTTCTAGTGTTGTTTTTATCACCTTGATGGATATGGAGGGAGATGAGTGAGTGGTATCTTCATAGAACAGTGATTTCACACTTTGTGTCTTAACATATGCTTGTGTGTACCTTATTGGAGACGGGTTTCAGCTGAGAGCTCTCGCAGCCTTTGTTAGAGAACTCTTGCATCTAAAGAGAAGTGTTATTTTGGAGCTGAGAGGCCAAACCCACTCCTGAATGTCTAAGCTTATGTGACTGCTCTAGTAGTTATGCTGTAGATGTTCTTACGTGTGCTGTCAGATTTATGGGAGAATGTCACGCTGCTATTTTGTTTTGAACTGCAAACAGAAGTTTTAGTTAAATTTATTATGTCTGTTCTGAAACACAATACAAAATGAAGTCTGGACAGTGACGGCAGTTCCTGTACACTGCTGTTTTGCCAAACTGAACTTTTGGCCTTAGTGAAACAATAGTATGCTCTTTTAGGTCTTAAATGTTGATAGCTTACTGTTGTCTTTAATTTTACTCATTCTGACACAGATGAGAGGAGAAGATTTTGGTTTATCAATTAAATAAAGAAATCATGAGAGATAATTGAGGGAAATCTGGTGATTTTTCTTTTTTCAAGTTCTAGTAGTGTAAGTGGGCTAGACAGTGAATAATTTGCTGCAAAGATTATGACATTTCTTCTGGAAGTGGTAATGATCTGTGCTGCCTTATGAAGAGTTGGAGATAATATGAACTGTTTGTTTTGAGAAGCCAAAATCTTGAACTAAATGATTTCAAGGTCAGCTGAGAATCAATCAGGAATAAATGTTATATTCCTAGCTGAAGGGCAGGAGAAGCTAGCTGCTGACATAAGAGCAAGCTTGACTATAGGCATGAAGTAACCTTGAGCTGTAGCAGTCTTCAGTGTATTTACTGAGGTCTGAGTTTGGAAAAAAAGTAAGAGTTCTGAGGTGTTTTTTTTTGTTTTTTTTTTTTTTTTAATGTAGAAAGGTCAGATGCCAGGGTTAGTTTAAAATCGTGTGTAGAGAAATTCTAGGAAGGATAATTCTTACAGAAAAAAATAAATAAAAAGAGATACAGTTTCAGCATGTATACTACCTTATAGAACAGAAAATAGTAACACCTGGAAACTAGTAGTTAGCCAGAGCAGATAACAGAAGATTAAGCTATTAAACTGCTTAACAAGGACATATGCCAAAGTAGTTTAAATTGTGCTGGTTTGTAATTCTCCTCTTACATAAGAGGAATTCTAATTTAGCAAGACATACAGGGGTGAAAAGAGTAAAAGCATACAAGTTCATTCAAAGTCCAAATCCAAATGCAGTAACTGCCCTATTTCATTGTTTCAGCCTTTCATATGCAGATTTATGGATGAACATGAGCTAGGTTTGTACCAGCTAGGATATGGCATATATTCAATTGGTGTAAAAACCTACATATGTTGAAGGATATTCCATCTGGTTTTCTGTTCTATTGTCTGGTCTTTTACTAGCAAATTAATCATGAGAATCTGCTGTTACCATATTATGAAAATATTTATAGTTTGGGTTTATCATATATATTTAAAATGGAATAATTATATAGCATGCTGGCTTGCTTGTGTTGTTTTGAATAGCAGGAAAAGAATTGTGCTGTGGACACGATAGAATTTTTATTCCTCTGATGCTCATCTACTGTAGAACAGGAAATTCTCAGACACTTAATAACCTCCTAAATTGTAGATAATATAGTTTGGCCTTTAAATGTCTATTTTAAGAATGTGTTGTGGCTGAAGCCAGGATAATGGGATATTGTTGGCTAGGGTATGTTGTAGGGTATGTCTTATGTGAAAACTTTTGCAGATAAAAGGTGGTGATCTGATTCCTGCTTGACTGATACTTTTTTCAAAGGGAGGTCTTTGAAAAGTTAGGGTTGAAAATGGTAGCATTAGATTTTATTTTCTGTTACCTACCTATCTATCTTCACAGTAGTGATAGTTTCAGAATAGCAGAAATATTCTTCATGTTTTGCTCTCATGTCTGAAACAATGATGGTTCCTTGCTTGTTAGGTAAAACAACATTTAATCTGAGTAGTGAAAATCTGTGCAGCTAAATGCAAATACAGCTGTAGGCTGTGCAGGAGTTCTGTATACATTTAATATTAACATGAGTGACAGGAGCAAGATGAATAGAAACTAAGGATGTGTAAGGAGTTCACACTTAAGTTGAAAGCGCATGCTATTTTGTATTCATTACTGCTGTTCACTGTAATAGCTATATAAAACTAGTACGTGCATTGTAACACCTGCACAATTCTGACTTTATTTTGCTGCATGGGCATATGCAGGGTGATAACTTTATTATTACAGTTCATCCCCATTTTGGACTAAGATATTGAGTGGTTCTTGGACACCTGGCCAGCTGTCTGGAGGAGATAAACCAACCCATTTAGCAGTCCTTGCATTACTCTTTGCACCAGAGCTGAAGCCTGTAATTCTTTACGTATTTTGTAATCAGATTCAGAGGCCAATACACTCATAGAGGAGTTCAACACTGCAGCAGTTTCTCCAAGCTTGCTGTCACTTGACTGTTAGTCCATAAAATGCGTTATTACAGCGTGTTAAATAATGCTGAGCCAGTTGAAAAATGGCGAGGATTTTGCCTGGATATGAGGAAAAAACCATTTGAGAGCTGCATGCGCAGTCGGGAAAAGACAGGTTGTACTGACAGTCATTTCGGTCAGATTCATCCGTATGATGCAAGCACTGCCATCTTGTGGATAATCTGAGGATGTGGAGAGTTCGGAGTTATTTATTTACTAAACGTAAAACTTTATAAAATGATGTGAAAATTTCTAAATATGTTTATTTAATAAATGTAAAAATTTCCAAAATGATGCCTGCAGGAAGTAAATTTTAGTGTTGTTACATTCAAGGAACACATGTGAACAGAACTTAATTTCTGAGACTAGTGAATGAAATGCGTGTCAGTTCTTTAGTTGATTGTGTGTTTTCATCATGTTATAAAGCTTGGTTTCTTCTTCCTTTTGTTGCTTTTTGTAAGCAAAGAAACATGTTTTCTGCCTAGGGCATTTAAAAGTGACAAAAGGGAATCTTAAATCTCTCATGCTGGATCACCATTCTTTCCTCTAGTAGTATGGGTGAAGGGGAGAGGAATGGGAGCAAAAACAACAACATGATGTCTACGTGATTGCTTTTATAACAGATTCCTTGACTACTGTTTCATTGTATTTCCATCACTGAGGAGTAATTTGAGCTATTGCTGACGTGCCTGGTATCAGTCCTGTTGTGAACTAAACTGGTTCACAACAAGTTATTGGATGTTGTCTAACTGGGATCTGGGAAGAGACTCATCACTGTTGTAGGCACCTGAAGCTTACGGATTTCTGTTAAGCAGCTGCACGGCTCTTGGTAGCTATATCTCAGGCTATGTGCTGCTCTGTTTTGTGCCAGTCTGTTGATTGTGCTCATTCCTCCAAAAAGAGGTGTGTGAAAAGGATATTTGGCTATGCAGGCATCAACATAGCTTTCTAAACTTGATTAACGTAGATATATTTCTTTGTACAACTCAGAAAAATAGTACTTGGAAGACATCAGGTGATTTTCTCTTGCTATAACACTGTGCAATTATGCTGTGAGTAATGAGCTGTAATAGGTATTTTCCAAACATGATGTACAGTACCTACAGAGTTTACTTTTAGAACAGCCTAAGCATAAGAAAGGAAGTAGAAAGGGCATCACCTTAAGAAAAAAGGATAAGTATAGCAATATCATGTGACAAAACTCCTGGAGTTAGAAATCAATTGTATTGCCTTTCTCCCAGCTCCCTTTCATGTTCACAGTTTTACGTACTGTGAACTATTTACAGTGGAAGCAGACCAACAAGAAAATAAAACCCCCGAGTTCATCTTTATTTAGAAATCATATCTCGTACAGCAAGGCAGTTGAACCACTGAATGAAAATAGTGGTTAAGCATTGTTACCAAAAAAAAGTTAACAATTTGCACTACTGGGGAGAAAGCTACATGTCAAGGTGAAGCTCTTCTTGAGACTACTGTGGATTCTAGTCATTACAGTAGAGCTATTTTACAGGTTCAAACTGTTAAGAGTGTGTTAGTTTTGCAGTATTTTTATGAATAATGTATGCCCAAATATAATAATGAATGTGAAGAATGGGAACCATGAACTTCAGACATCTCAAGCACTAATATTTTACTGCAGGTGTCGAGTACTTCACTGTTGCTGTTGAATGTGTCACAATGCTTTGTTATAACTGAGACAGGAAAATAGAACAAAAAACCTGAGGTAAACTAAATTGTAGTT